TGTTCTCAGAGAAAACAAAACTAGTAACTACTGTAAGACTCCCTCCTGGGAAAGCACAACTCGAAACTAACTTGAGTTTTATTCAAATTCTCTTTTTCACCTTCATGGAACTTGGACTTGATAAGCCTCTATAACCACTATTAGGATAGTTAAGAAGAAAAAATATGCTCCTTTACAAATATGCCAGGAGAGTCAAGTCAGGTGTTCAGGGGGAAAAATAACTAACTTGAAGGCAGAAAGTACAAACTCCGGAAGCTAGGATCCGTGTGAGCACAGGCGCCTTTGGGGGAACAGCAGGTGGGTTGCCATCACCTCGCCTCCACCCTGCCCGGAGAGAAGAATCATTTTCCAATGTATAATATAAGCCTGTTTGGAATTGTCACAATGACCCCCCCTGTACAATGAATATATCCTAATAAAAAAAAAAGAAAGAAAAATAAGTAGGGAAGGACTCAAAGTGATACTTGCCCATGCAACAGTATCCAGTCAAAGGGAACCAAAAATCACAAGAAAACTCATTTTGTCAGTGGAAAGCCAACTTCCAAGGTTGAACGACTACCCATACCACCCTATCCATAGGACCTCATCCTATGTCCCTTTATCACCTGAGAGCCCAAAGCAGACCTCTGTAATTCCCATCCTCTCCTCCCCAGCCTGTGTGTCACTGAGCGGGATCCTCTTTATTGCATGGCACCATATCAGAAGCTTTGCTTTTCCTGTGGTCAGTCTTTTCCTGCACCCTGTCCTGCCCTCTCACCTCTCCCTGAATACACCCCACTAATCATGACAGCATCCTGCCAATTAAAGTAGATTAAATTATTTTGCAATGGGTCTGTCTAATTTGTACATCTAGGACAGCTACCTGGACTATCTGCAGATATGTAGGCCTGATATCCACATCTTCATCGCGCTTATGTAACTGCCTGACTCACCCAATTGAATGTATTTTTCTTAACCCACTAGAGAGCAGCAGCCAGTTCAAGGTTGACTTCCTGGAGACATCCTGGAGCTGAGGGACTGCTGTCACATTGGTGCTAATGTGTGGCTTTGTTGACAGTTTACTTGGGAACAGTAAGGGTAGGGACCCAGCAGATTTTAGACTTTTCTTATAGCTAAGAAAGATGCTAAGATAAAAAATGAACAATAGCTCTGCTTTTTTTTTACATGGAAAGAAAAATTCAGACGTGCTTTCTTATTCTGAAAGATCTAGAATCTTTGATCAAAACAGTAAATATAAAGGCTAAGTAGGTAAACTTGTATTCCTGGCATTTTTTCCTGTGTGAATCCTAGCTTGACTCTTACAACAACTGGCTATCCCTTCTTTTCTTTCTCTTTTCTAATACTTAACATAATGAGTCTTAAGCCTCTGCCCTCATCCCTGCTCTGTCTCTTCCTGTCTTTTCCTCTCTTGTTCATAACCGTGCACTTGAAGTGTGTGGTCCTCTAACTCTGTATCCCTAGTCATATAGCCATACATCTCCCTCCCTTATCTGATCCCAGTGCCAATTCGACCCTTTTCTTCTTCTTCTCACTCTGCAGTCTTCCCAAACCACACCATTGAACAGCCACCCAGTCATGCCCTGAATTTCATTTTCTTTGTCTTTATTTTGTATAGTGCCAAGAGAACTATGTATAGTGAACAAGAGAAACTACATACCTCTACCTTTGAGGAGGTGACAGACGCAGCTCCAGGCCTCAGGCCCATGTTGTTTTTTGTGTCTGGAGTGACGACTGTCTTTCCACCCCCATTTCTGTGTGTCCATGTCTTTATTATACCAGCCCAGGTTGCTGCCCTCCCCGCCCCCCCCCCCCACAGCTCTTCCTTAGAACCTCTGGCCAGAGGTGGTCTCTCTTGCTGCTCAGGTCCTGCTTGTCTTGCTTTTTTTTTCTTGCTTTATAGTCACTTGAGTATTTTTGCCTATCTTTGAGTATAGGTTCCCTAAAGGCAGGGCTGGGACTCACCTGTCTTTGCCCCTTCCACACTATCCACGTAATGACATAACTACAGTAGTGTGCAGTTAATGTATGCCAGATAAACTCAGGAATTAAAAGTCACTTAAGTTTTTCTCCAGTACATTTTGGCCATGTGTTACTTGTTCTTTATTAATCTTGAAAGCTTAAGAAAAATCTATCCTTTTCTTTTTGTGTATCTACCAGGCACACAGTAAATAATTTGAGTCCTTAGTATAATAAAATTTCAGTGGAAAGTGGACAGTGAACAAATTTATGCTTGCAGGCATATCTTCTTAAAGTATGCAAAGTTTATATATATTATCCAAATGAAAGGGCATCTTAGAAAATTAAATGTTGAAAATTCTCCCAACCATTATTTTACATCTGACAATGAATTCTCACGGAGAGAGAAGCAGACAGGTTGACACGGGGTCTTGAGTCCCAGTTCTCTTTGCTGTGTGTCTACTGATTATGCAGCAGAGCCAAGTCATTTAACTTCTGTGCATTTCAGTCTTCGTCTGTGGTGGCTGTGTGCAGCATGACAGACTGTGTCTTGATCATCTTTGAGTCTGCCTTCCTAAAACACTGCTTTGAAGTACATACTCACTTGATATGGGTGGACAGATGGATGGATGGATGGATGAAATTATCTACCTTATTTGTCTAGTCTACTTTGAGAGTTAACATTGATGACTTTAAAAGCAGTGGATGTTCAAACCATAGTCATTTTATTTTCTTTTTCCAGTTCAAGAACCTTTATTTTAGTAATAAGGTGATTTCATTTGCTACATTGTATTTATGTACTGGGGCATGCTATCTCTTAAACTTAAGTTTTTCATTCATTTGGGGCTATAATAGCCCAGTTCATTTTAAGGTACTATAGGGATGTGTGTGTGGGTGTGGGTGTGGGTGTATGGGTGTGGTGATGTGCTTGGGACAAAATTTAGGACTGAGCTATACTTCCAGCCCTGTATTTTGTTTTAATGTATATCAAAATAGTGCTAAAGGATTCATTTAATTTGTTTTCAGTGTTACCTTGTAAATGTTAAAATTCAGTTTCCAGGGCTGGAAATGTGGCTCAATGGTAGAGCATGCACTTAGCATATCTGAGACCCTGTTCCAGACCCCAGCACAAAGAAAACAATTTAAGTTCTAATAAATTATCAATTTACTATTGTCTCAAGTTTTAATAAATTTAGTAGAAGGTTGGACATGGACAAGATAGTAGTTTCTTTCCATTGCAAATTATGTGTAGTCTTTATAGTCAAACTCAGCCTCCACTACCTCTGAAATGGGGAGTTTTAAGAGATTGCTTTTGCAGAATAGAAAGTTCATCATTTTGTAAAGTAATTTGATTCACTTATTTGCTTAGTCTTTAGCATGGGAGAAACCTGTATTTTAAAATTGCAGTTTTTTTTTCCTTCTCCAACGTCAGGAGGAGTGGTTATGCCCTGTAATGCTATGCTTAAGTAAAATTACACATTCGGGGCATCTAAATTGGCATGCCAAATTATAGGACATTTTAATTATTATGTGGATGTGACAGATTCAATTATTCTTGAACTCTTTTGAGAAAGCTGCCCTTAGCAGTGATTTACAGTAGTAAACAAAAGATTAACAGGAAAATGCCCTTTATTAGACTTAATAAACGTTTCCGATTAAATATCATGGGCCAGAATTAACTGAAATATCTAGATGTGGAAAAAACAACCTGTGTCCTGCTTAGAGCTTCAGCGTATTCTCTTAAGATGAATTTATTATAAACACAGCCTAAATGAAGAACTAAGTACCACTTAGCATCAGAACTGTTTTCCTAGGTACGTCATTTGGGCCAATTGTCTCAGACTCTTTCTTCTTGCTGAAACCATTAACCAAAGCCACTAATAAGTAGAAATGCAGAGTTAAGAGCCCCATCCTCCACCTTTCAATTTCCAGTGGACATATTAATAAGCCATAAGGCAGCTAAAAGGCAGGCAGCTAAAGAAAGAAAGAGAAAGAAGCAAGACAACGTAATTGTGAGAACAGATACTCAGCAGTCCAGACTGCGCTGCCCTCGTGTGTAAGCTGTGTGGACTGTGATCACTGGAATTTGGAGCTCAGTTTCTTAATTGCTTCTTTAGTCTTATCCAATGAGACCATTGGATTTCTAGAGATTTCTTCTGTGTGGAACAGTTATACTAAAGCCGCTTGGGCAGCAGCTCTTTGGCCAGCCTTTCTCTCTTAGAATAATAAACAACAATCAGAGGCAACATCAGGACGCACCTTAACCCCGCCACTGGCAGGGCCCTAGCTCTCTTACCAGCCCACGTAGCTGAAGGCCATAAAGAAATTCTGGAAGCATTTGCTGCTTTTCCAACCATTGCTCAGATCCTATCAGACCAGCGTGGCGATTGATCTGCTGTCAGACCATTGCCATCTGGTTTGTCTGACCGTACCCTACAGTTTATATATATATTCAATTTGATTTTCTTCAATCAAGAATTTCCCAGCTCTGAAGTGTGTATATAAATACCCCCTCAAAATTCTGAGTCTGAGAGCCTTTTTTTTTTCATTTTTCTTTTATTATTCATATGTGCATACAAGGCTAGGTTCATTTCTCCCCCCTGCCCCCACCCCCTCCCTTACCACCCACTCCGCCCCCTCCCTCTCCCCCCCCAATACCCAGCAGAAACTATTTTGCCCTTATTTCTAATTTTGTTGTAGAGAGAGTATAAGCAATAATAGAGAGTAAAAGCACTAATAATAAGAACCCCAAAAGCCTGTGGCGTGATATAAAATGCCATAGGACTGCTGAGTGCCCATAATAACAGTCTAGAACTTTCATTTTCTTCCTTTCCTATAACATTATAATAATAAAAGGTCAGGTTTAGGCCTTTGTTTGCTTGATAACACAGGGTAATCAAACCATTTAAACACTCTCCAGGCCTACCACCCAAATAGATTTTCTGTGTTCTCCCTCGCCTGCCCCTTTCCGACATATCGTCTGACTTGTAATATGTTGCTGGGAGACATTGTGTTTCAATGGGTTCCTTTCTGCTGATTACCAGGTTTTGGATTCAGGAAGACTGAAAGAATATGGTGAGCCATATATTTTGTTGCAAAATCCAGAGAGCCTCTTTTACAAAATGGTACAGCAACTCGGCAAGGGAGAAGCCGCTGCGCTCACTGAAACAGCAAAACAGGTGAGCGCGCCCAGGAGCTGTAATTAGAGTTTGTCTCACCAGTTCCCTCCTCACAACTTGGCACCACGGGTCGGTAACAAGCACTGTGTGCCCTTTTCAATTATAAGCCTCCAGAGACAAAGCTGCAACACGTCCAGGGTTGAAGTCAGGTCTGGGAGGACTTGGCAAAAGCACATGTGGGGAGCGGGAGGATGTGTGCACATGCACGTGCAAACAGGTGTGTGCCAAAGGGGGAGAACCTTTTTACACTGCACTTTCTACCCATTTAGACTCTGGCTTCAGATTCTCATGGAAAACTCATTCCGCAGACCCATTACATCTCTTTCTTACTGGTACTTGGCACATTTGAGATGCAAATGCTGTCGTAGTCCATACCGGAAATTTGAGAAGTTGAGGGGAAAATGTGGCATGTTGTTCACTCATTTGTTCTAGAAAGATCTACCAGGGAAAATATGGATTGCTTTTGTTCTTTGTTTTATAATTTGTAGAGAAAAGTCCTACTGTCACTTTCTCCCTAAGTCTTTGTTGTTAAGAATTGGGGTAGAGGTACCTTTTTTTCCCCTTCTACCCTCTAGAAGATGAACTTGTCATCAGGACAAAGCAAGAATTTATCAAAGCTTAAAGAATAATCTGAATAGTGTTTGTAGGTTCACAAAGCTTTAAAGACATTTAGGTCACATGATGTCTTTCCAACAACAGTGGTGCAGTATTACTGCATTTTACAGATGGGTAATTGCCCTTTGGTTTAAGAGACTTCGCCAACTCACAATTCCTTGTAATAATTCTATAAGTTGGGTTTCATATTGGTGGAAGGAGGGAGTCTGAGATGAAAGTCAGGTGTTCTTATTCCTTGGTGTGTACAGCTAAAGGTGGAGTGAAACATCTTCTGGCATACCATGAGGCCCCCATCACAGCTCTTCACTTCTAATATGGTTGTATGTTTTTGTCTTCACTCTTTCTGTATTTCCTAGATTTTCAACACTAGAGATAGAACAACATTGGTTGTTTTTGTATATTTTTAAAAATCTTATAAGAAGTATGTTCTAGTAGGTAACAGTCTTTCTGTGTGAGTGACTTATCCAAAATCTAGGCTAGGTTCCCTTTTGTCACTGCTTCCTCTGTTCTTTCTTAGAAACAAGGCACGAGGGCTGGAGATGTACCCAGTGGTAGAACACCTGCCTAGTAAACACAAGGCCGTAGGTTTAATCCTAGCATCAAGAAGGGGGAGAGAAGTGGAACAAAAAAAGAGGGAAGGAGGAGCTATGCCTTTTACTATGTCTTTGAATCCAGCTTTCCCTTTTAAGACTATTAAGTAAATGCCTGAGTGCAAAGTATTATGCTTGGTGCTAACAAACATGTTAGGTATGCCCCTAGCCACTGATGACATAAACCAAAGAATAGAGAAGACCAGAGACACCTGGTGAGCCATGATGGTGATGAGGACGAGGACGCTGACATTTGTTAGGTGTCACACACTGTGCTATGATACAGTTCTCTTACCACTATGCTTGTTTAAGAAGCCGAGGCTTAGCGAGGGAAGGAAGTTGCCCAGAATCACATAGCTAGTAAGCAGTTGGCTGAGTCAAGATTGAAACCTAGGCTGCGGATTAACAGTGTCTGTGTTTGCAACTTCTCATAAGGACTACGCTTATGTAGTCCTTGTATAGACACGCTGTATGTAGGTCCTTGGAGAACTGGCCTGTTTTTAGGCCTGAGTTAGACAGAATACTCCTTACTTCTGCAGTGTCTTCCAGTCTAAGCTCCCTCTCACAGGACCCAATTAATCATTTGGGATTCCATAAATCTTTTTGTTCTTTGATACCTCTGGCATTTCACATCAAAGCAATGTATCCTCCTGCTGGTGTGTCAAAGCCTACCATCCCATTTTTGCAGTGCTGATGGAATCCAGGACCTCACTGTGCTAGGCAGGTGTTCTATTACTGAGCTACATCCCTAGCCCTCAAAGTACCCCCTGAAAAAATGTGTTGTCATAAGCTAGGAATGTAGCTCAGTGGTCACTTGCCTATTGTGCTGAATTTGATCCCTGGCACCTAAAAGAAAAAAAGTGTTAGCATTTTATTATCGAGGTAACCAAATAACGAGAGATCACAGAATTTTAGATAGATCTAGATCACATAAGGTAATAGAATTCAATACCTTTATTTTAAAGATGAGGAAACTAAGGCCCCCAAAAGTAAGGTGATCCACTGTTATTCTAGTTTGTAGCAGAGACAGAATTAGAAGTCTTTTCTTTCCATCTGCATTTGAACATATGTACAGACAAACACATGTGTCACAGTTAGAAATCTCCTGATGCTCTTTTATCTAGTTCATCACTATGAATGGTAACTTAATTTGTGTAGCTTTTAGAATTTACAGAATTTATGTAGTTCCCTTAATCCCAATACACTTCTTTTTTTAATCCCACTTGACTGATAAGAATGTGGGTCGAGGGTTCTCATGAGGACACACAGAGGGACATTGCTGGAGGAGGCTGTCACATGGCTGTAGCTACTGCACTCTGTGTCAATTTTGAAAACGCTGCTCCTTGTTGCAGTTGGTGTCCAAGGTGGGGCCAGTGTTCCCACCAGGCTGAACTCCCCTCTGGATTTCAAGCCTGCCTAACTACCAGTTATAGAAAGGCAGGGAAATACAGATCTTGGTTCCCACCTGAGTTGGAAATCTTCTTGACATTTTTTCTGCATACATGTGGTCCTCTTAGAAGAACAAGCTGTCAAATTACCAGCTTTTTACACGTACCATATCAAATACCAGTGCATTATTCAGAACTTGTAACACTGCGGATTAGTCTAAATCAACAGGCTTTTCACTCTCACAGATCAGAATTCACTTGTTTGAAAAGAAAACCCAACATCTGGGAAAAGGTGCTTCCAAGTCACGTATTCTTGACCACGTAGTTGCTTTTTCCTGGAAGGATCAGTGCAGGCTGGCAAAATCACTTTTATTTGACTTTTTGAGATGATCCAGAGAAAGGTAGAAAAAGTACTTTTTAGATGCATAGTGCTGAAGAGTGTCTTTGTCTGCTGGGCTGCTGTAGACCGATGAAGTAACTTAAACAGAAATTTATTTTCTTGGAGTTCTGGAGGCTGGAAGTCCAAAATCAAGGATTGGTTTTTCTGACACCTCTCTCCTAGTGTCCTTCTTCTGTGTATTGTGCCCTGATCTCCTCTTACAAGTCATGTTGGATCAGGCCCCACCCTAAAGACCTAATCTTAAGTCGCCTCTTTAAGGATCCTGTTTCCAAACACAATCACATTCTGAGGTACTGTGGATTAGGACTTCAGCATGTGATTTCAGGAGGGGTCCCATACAGCTGGTCCCATAATAAAGGATGAGTGTCCATCCAGTCCATCTCTTCCCTGCTGAAGCACACCGCATTTCATACTTACTTTGTTCCCATTGTGTAATGGAGGTACCATTTTTATCTGTCTGTGAAATCACCAGATAACAACCCAAAAGTTGTGAAATCCTAACATCGTGGGTTCTATGAGCCTAGACCTTTTGCATAAGTAAAGAGGCACTCAGCAGGCAGGGACTGCAGCCTTCTCCCTTGTGGGTACCAGATGAGATGGTAGATGCTTAAGTGGTTTGAAAAATAGAAAGCATTTTACAAATGTACAGAAATTCTACCTATTGTTGACAGTAGTTTGATCCATTTTCAAAAGGCTCTAGACCAACCCTCACGTCCTGCTAATAATGAAAGAAGTATGTTCTTCCTCTTTTTTTTTTTTGGGTGCTGGAAATCAAATCCACAGCTTTGTGCATGCTTAGTACACATTCTACCACTGAACTTCATCCCCTCCCCGTGCTCCCTTACTTTTTTCACTTAATATTAAGTCTTTGGACTGGGGATGAAGCTCAGGGACAGAGTACTTGCTTAGAATACACAAGGCCTGATTTCCATCCCCAGCACCATGAAAAAAAATTGTGGCTTCAGTTATGTTAATGCATAGTTATCTCATTCTCTTTTATACCTAATAGAAACCTAATATTTACTTTCTCCACTCTTGACTTCCCATTTCCCCCTTTAGTTAAATTAGCTATTAATTTTTTCCTCCTCAGAATGAGCTCAGATTTATTTACTTGTTCTTGTTTCTATTTTACAGCTGACCAATTTCTGCTCTTTATTGATTTTTTCCTGTTTCAGTTTATTTTGTTGCCTTTTTTTTTTTACTTCTTGAATACATTCATTTACATTTTCTTATTAATACAAATATTTTAAGGCTGTGAATTTTCCTATGAATTCTGCTTTAGCTGTATCCTATAGGTTCTATGATAGCAGTGCTTTCATCAAAGCTCTTATTTTATGTTCTGCAGTTCTGGTTTTGATTTCTTCTTTGGCCCACAAGTTATTTAAGAGGGAGGTTTTTACAGTGAAGGACAGGAATATAAAACAGGCCATGTAAAGGGGAGGGTAATTGCGGGAGGGGGAGCGTAAATGAAGAGGGTAAAGGAGATGAAAATGGTTGAAGTACTTTCTATACATTTCTATACATTTATGAATATGAAACATTGAAACCTGTCAAAATTACTTTAAGAAGGGGAGTAGGGGAAGAGGGAGATTAGTGGAAGTAATGAAACAAATTGGAGTATATATATATATATATGGAAATGTCACAACAAAACCCCCTATGTAATTATCATATACTAATAAAAACATTTGTTAAAAGAGGGAGGTTTTTAAAACTTCCTGGTAACAGGGGCTTCATTTTGTTTTTGTGTGTTTTTATTCTCATGGTTTTATAATCAAGCAGTGTTGTCTGTACTGTTACTCCTTATGTGGAATTATTCACACTTTATGTGTCCTAAAATATAGGCAATTTTTGTGAATTTTCTTTCGGCATTAAAAGCATGGAATATTGTCTGGTTAAAATATGTAGCTTAATAATTTTTAATTAGATCTATATTAATTATATAAGTCTTCTCTGTCCTTATTTATATTGATTCATTTATTATGACTTGTATTTAGAGAGGTGAAC